AAACGGTTAAAGGCTTTGGATGTGGGGCTTTGTCTTTTGTGGCCCTTTAAATACCTTTTTCCTGGGGGGTTTTATAAGACCCCCTTAGGAACGAAAATGTGGAGGGGGGGGGGGGGTTTTTTTTAAAGACCATCCAAGGGGAGGGGGGGGGGGGGATATGAATATTTTCTGGAATGACACAATAATAATAAAATAATATAATATTAAATACTTACTTATCCTCTCCCTTTATGGGGCTTTTCAGGGATAATGAAACAAATAATTCAAACGGAACATAGCAATGTTCAGAATCCTAATTGGTAGGAGACAAACCAATTGGCTATTTTGCAAGTGTTGCCGAGGATTTGAACTTGGGACTACCAAGAACAAATCCAGCTAGCGGTCAGTGCAGGGCATGAACTTAGGACCTCTGGATTACAAGTCCAGCACCACATCTGCTCAGCCAGGCTGCCTCCTTCAATATGAATCATAGTAATTTAGCCCTTTTCAGATAAACAGTCCACTATACAGTCAAACCTCACACCTTTTTATTGTGAACAGTTTTTTAAGCTAAATGGGATGCATTTATCTCAATGGTTTCCTAATCCCTCTTTCCAACACATCACTGTCTTGACCAACACGCTTTTGCCATGCCCAAATGCAAAAATACATTATATTTCCAGTAATTTAAATATATTTATTTTTTGCACTTTCACGTTATCAATTTCTCATCTTTGGCCTAGCTGTCTTTTGTTATCAATAATTTAGTAGCTTATGTTTTATGTTCTATGTTTTCTTTTTGTGTTTATAATTTTTTTTTGAATTTGTAATTAGTCTGGTATTTGTCATTGCATGTACTATTAGTAATTTATTAATGAGTTGATATTGTAATGTAATGTAATGTAATGTGAAATGAAAGAAAAATAATTACGAAAAAAAATTGAAATAAAAATGAACAGTTTCTTAGTCTCTAGTGATAAAAAATTTTAACCAATCTCAATTTTTGCATTACATATACATCTCTGTTATGCGGACACTTAGATCTGTCCCTCTCTTTTCATATCAAGGAGTTTTGACTGTATAGATATTTTATGGCAATTTTTTCTTTTATTTAACACACATGTAACTATCTGAAATGCCTTGGCACATTTATTTTTTTTTTTAGGTTATTTGTCATTCAAGGGAAGCCTGAAGAAGAATTACCACAACTGTTTAAAAAGTGGAAAATCAGTCAATTAACGTTTGAGTTTGATCATGAACCAGATGGACGAGCAAGAGATTCAAAAATTTCTGAATTAGCTTCAAAGGATGGAATTGAAGTAGAAACAAAAGTCTGTCATTCACTTTATGATTTAGACAAGTAAGTTGTCTAGCTAATAATACATTGTTTCTTTAAAGGGTACCAAATGAACAGTACCTGATTAATCTCTCGTCTTCCTGCTCTTGGTGGTAATTGTGTAATCTGTTTACCCACAGACCACTTGGGAGTTCATAAGAACTCTTTGTGACATGTCTGTGTGTTCCAGATCGAATTGGGATTTGAAAGTGTGGGGTTTTAAGGAGGCTTAGGGGAAAACCGGAGTACCTGGATAAAAAACTCTCGGAGCAAGGGAGAGAACCAACAACAAACTCAAGCCACATATTATGGCATCACCTCCGGGATTCAAACCCAGGCCACATTGGTGGTAGTGTGTGCTGTCATCGCTGCACCACCCTTGCTTCCCAAGTTTATCTGAGATTAGTCTGAGCAAAGGCACATTTGGTGAAGTCCCTATTTCTCTTTCAAGCTTTCATTTGTTTTATTGCTTTCCTTTTCTTTTTTTCTTAATATTATTGCACACTTGTAGGATAATTGAGAAAAATGGTGGCACACCCCCACTAACCTACAAAAAACTTTGTTCTATTGTGTCATCTATGGGGACACCCTCAAAGCCAATTCCCACCATAGACGAGAAAACATTTGATGGCTGCACTACTCCATTGGGGGATGACGTAGATGGAAAGTATCAAGTCCCTACACTTGAAGAACTTGGAATTGAAATGCCAGAAGAATCAAGCAGTGTCCTATTTCCTGGTGGTGAAACTGAAGCTCTCAGAAGACTTGATGAACACATGGAAAGAGAGGTGTATGCACTTTTTATAGATTTTATATAGATTTAACCAAGGCCAAAAGCAAAGCTCTTGTGAGATCTTTTAAGTAATGTTGTTCTAAAGTAATTTAACTTTTGACAAAAGCAATGAGAAAACTGAAACCCTCCTGAAAAATTGACCTGTGCCTGTGACCAGTAATAATTGGTCAGTGAACAATTTAAATAAACACGTCACCTCAATGAAGTATTCATCTGAGCCCATGATACAGTCATGTGACACTGATCAGCAGATACCCTATTTTGACAGTTGTCAATAATATTGACCATAACATGGATGTCCAGTATCAAGATTGTATACGCCTTGGACACCAAGCTCGTGATAGTGACATTTCACATCCGCTAACAAGAAAATCCGAAAAAATCTCTTAAATCCAAAGTTGAATAAAGTTATGTATGTTTGTATGGGGGACATATGGACGGACAGATGGACGATTTTTTAACCAAATTTTATTATCCATGGTGCTCTGCTGCATGTGCTTTTGAGCTCGCAAGAGCTCCACTACCACATGAATATTAGTCATTCTGTAAAGGTAGGTCCTTTCTCAGGGCAGTCACTTTTAAGGGGCCAACTACGATTTGTATTTGTATTTTATTTTTACTCCATCCTATAGATAATACATTAGTTGTTCAATATCAGTTAGTACAAGGTTGATTAAACTACATGTACATAATGCTATGATTGGACACTCCTGGCTACTCTCATTGGAAGCAAAAGGAAGATAGCACCAAAAGAACTTTCTTAGTAGTTCAATTCTCTGCCCACTTATAAAATAAGCCTGAGGTAATCTCACCCAAAACCATAGTTGAGTCGCCCGAAATGCGGAGTCATGTTGCCTCAATTTTATCAGGTGAAGTGCACAGAGA